CAAACATGCTATTCAAACATGCTAAATCCAACCTCAAATATGCTAAATCCAACTTCAAACATGCTAATTTAAACATGCTAAATCCAACCTCAAATATGCTAAATCCAACCTCAAACATGCTAAATCCAACCTCAAACATGCTAAATCCAACCTCAAACATGCTAATTCAAACATGATAAATCCAACCTCAAATATGTTCATGTTATATACAACTACAAACATGTTAATGCCTAATCCAACTTCAAATATGCTAATCTGAACTTCAAATATACTAATCCAACTTCATGCATGCAAATTCAAACATGCTAAATCCAACTTCAAAAATCCTTATGCGATATCCAACTTCAAACATGCTAAATACAACTTTATAATGTAATAGTCAACTTCAAATATGCTTATCCCAACTTCAAGCATGCTAAATCTAACTGAAAATTAAATCTAACTTCAAGCATGCTAAATCCAACTTCGAAGTTAATGCCTAATGTGCAAATTCCAGATTTGGCATTATATTTAATTTTCTTGGAGAGAATCAAGGTTTATAAAGTACACCTGGCACATATTTCAAGATGTTTATCATTTAAACACGTGATCATGACGTGTATATTTGTGGAAATTATTACCTTGTACAGCAAAATCTCTGTAATGAGACAAGAAATTTCTTGACACTCAAGCTGAAATATGATCATATATGTAAATGAAATAATGTAAAAAAAAATTCCCTATATTTGTCTTGTGATCCTAGCATACAAATTTCATGCGATGTAGGGTGTGTGTGTGGGGATTAGCGGGGTGTATTGCCCATCGGTGATGGCGTAGGGCCGTCGCCTTAGTGTAATGTGAGCATTTCTCATAAAGATTGTATTTTGGAAGGAGGAGAAGGAGGTTGGCAACTGGTATAACAACTGTTCTCCTTAGCAAAGTAAGAACATTGCCCCGTTTGTCTCGAACTCTCTATAAACTAAAACGTTTGTCTCGAACTCTCTATAAACTAAAACGTTTGTCTCGAACTCTCTGCCGCCTTTAATTATATAAACTGAAACGTTTGGAATCGATTTTTAAAAATTCACAGAATAAGAGCTAATATTAATCACGTATGTCAAGACTTGAGACTATGACATAATATAAAGGGGATCATGCTTACATTATAATTATCATCTAAATCAATATCATATTTTAGTGTCATAGATATGTCAAAAAACACGAGTTTACTAAAAGAATTACCAGTCCGAGATAAATGAAACTTGCTAAAGTCTCAGGTCGAAATATAAACAATTTGTCAGGGATCGATTAAGTCCTTGTATTAAACAGTCAAAAGAATATGAGACCACAAATGTTTTGAACAAAAATCTGGACCGTTGATGCCGATTCCTTTTAAAAATGAAGTTAAATCAAAAGATAATAATTATATAAATAAAAAAGACTTCCTAACAACTATTGAAAAACAATTTCTAAATTTATTTTCTTGTTTAAAATACTTCGTTTTCAAAGGAACGACAGATAACCAAACCACAATATAGAAAAAGATAATTATGTCACTGATTAGTGATGGGTGGGGAATACTTGAGACGATTAATATTATCCGAAAATAGAATATCAACAATTAGACGCTAAGCTTGCCACTGTAACTTTATATGAGTTTCATGATCGTCACGATTTTAATTTTGACCTTGCTGTATCTCATCTTTTGTTTAAAGTAGCACAAACACTATCGAAGATGACTTATAGAGTTTACATAGAGACTTTAACAATTTTAAGTTAGTTCTAGCATTTAAATTATTTAAATCTATAATGTCAAGAATACTAAGCCCGATCATCGAAACCCTACCAATTTTGCCCGAAAATCTGGAGAGAATAACAAACACAACCTGTATCTATATTTCCCTAACCATAAACATATTCAACAAATAACAGGACTTGGTAATATTAAAACACTTCGACGGCCATTCATACTTTAAAGTGAACACTCCGGTTTTCTGAACTATAGTTTTGGTTTACAAAACACACATGGCGACGAAAGCAGTCTTTGCCCATTAAGTTATGTACTCGGTTCAATTATGGCGAGACCATTTTTTTGAGGTTAAGCATGGCTCACACGTACAACCACGATTTAATGCCAACTTCAATTATTGGTAACATCCCAAATAGTCCGATGTGAAGCCAACGAACCTGCCCCATTATATCTCTGTTGATAGTGGAAATCTGATAATACTTCAAACTTCAGAGGGAGAGCACAAACTCGCTGGGATAGTTCTAACAAAGCTTATCGACAACTGTCACACCTGAGGTGTCAAGTGGTCACGTAAATTTAAAGAATTTAAAACTGCCGAGTTGACCTTCAGTGAACCAATATATCTGACTTCAATCGAAAGAAATGAATATACGTTTCTATAGGGGATCCATTTAAGTTCAATAAAACAAAAATGTAAGCGAAACGTGACGAATCTTCAGAATTTTGTTTTTGGGCTGAGGGATTTTAACAATTCTCCAGTTTTATGTGTTCTGTTGCCAAGTACAACTGAATTAGCTGTGCAGTGTGTTCGTTTTCTTGAACACCATTTAACACGGATTAATAATAATGTATATTTCGGATTAATTAAAAAAGTATATATCGTATTGCATCCTTCCTATAAAATGATGTCTGTTTTATTGTAGACCATCGGTTAATCTGGGAAAGAAATAACATGGAAAATTTATCCAAAGAATTGGCCAATGACTCTTGAACGACCTTCATATTTCAGCCCCTGCCAAAGTCGCATAGAAAAGTTTACTTATCGCATAGCTCGAGGCATATTGCTAGACAGGTTAAGCGAAATAAAGTCTATTTTTTTCTTCATGTTCATATCAACTTAGATTTGTTTTCCGTCTCCACAGAGAACCAAACTTCATCTCATTTAGTTCACCGATAAAATAGAAACACCATCGAGCAATTCATAAAGTCATGTATGTATGTATGTATGTATGTATGTATGTATGTATGTATGTATGTATGTATGTATGTATGTATGTATGTATGTATGTATGTATGCATGCATGCATGCATGCATGCATGTATGTTTGTATGTATGTATGTATGTATGTATGTATGTATGTATGTATGTATGTATGTATGTATGTATGTATGTATGTATGTATGTATGTATGTGGGTGTGGGTGTGGGTGTGGGTGTGGGTGTGGGTGTGGGTAGGGAGGTAGGTAGATTGGTTAGTAGGTATGTCATTTTATGAACGAACATATCGGGACAAATGCATATAGTTTAAATAAAGAGAAATGAATTATGTAAATCACAATAAGGTGGAGAGTCCTATTCACACGTGTAGTGTACATTGTTTTGGAGCACAGTTAGATACTTGCTGTTTTTAAGTTAAGCATATTTTGTGTTTTATTGAGTGCGTGATTTATGCTACAGGGAAATACCAGCGATTGTGTAATATATGCTACACAAATATACCATTGTTTGTATTGTATGTGTTACACGGTGTATACATTTTGGGCATAGTTTGGATTTTACTGAGTAATAGCTCAGAACTTAGAACTTTATAATACATCATCGTAAGAGATGAATGTTTATGATTACAGTTAGATTTTCTATTATGAATCTTTCTGAGATTAAAATTCATCCTAGCTTTCTCCCATTTGCCAAGTAACACCACTTTATATTACTTTAAACGGCATTATAATACTACAAGCAGGTGGAAAAGGAGAAATGTAAAACTCGCTGATTATTATTCGTTTCTTTCTCAAAATTCAAACGGTTAATTGAAATAAAATCATTATCTCAGCCATTTGGCTCTGTTTTAAATATAACTTGTTTGTGTTCTACTTTTGGTCGGATCGTTCTAGGATGGTAGGATAAGTCTGAGTAAGGCAGATTTGTCAGGCGAACACAAGACGGAAACCCACTAAAGGTCTTCAAGTGGGGTATCTCCTAAAAATGTGATTAAGATTGGACAGGGCGAGTGTGGAATCCCGTCAAACCAATTTGAGCGGCGAGTCGTCTGACATGCTTCTCTAATATCGCTAATTAATAGTGACAGCTTCAGACAGTTGCCCACGGCCAGGAAACCCTTGAAATTGAATACAACTTGTATATCAATAGAAAAAAGACTGTGAAATCACGCTTCGGGAGTAGTTTGAAAGGTACGCAGAATAGTTTAGGAGACTTGGCCTTTGTTGCTCCAATAAATGAACTAGAAAATAGTGACGTCACCAAATCAGCTACAAGATCACGGTCTCGGAGTCTTTAAACATGCTTGAGGTATATCATAACAATAGATATACATCAGTACGAATCCCACTCATGCACAAGTCCCATTTAATATAAATTTTGTTTAAATCGTTCAAACATACATATTTATTTTATAATTTCATTGTGTTGCTATTGTTAAGTCCAGTGCCAGATTAAAGCCTCCCAAACCACAAAGCACTGAAACTATTTTGGTGCCCACACCGACCTAAAAAAAAAATTAAAAGCTAAAAATGGGTGGAAATGCCAATGTTGTCATCATTCCAAATAAAAATACTCCTACATGTAGATCGAAATGGTTGTATATATTTCATTCATTTCTAACATATCAGGGGCTGGTGCCCGGAGCACGTGCTTAGTGTGCTTAGTTGGTAATACTGCGCTGGTTAAATCACAAAGACATAAACCAGTCTGGGATATACTGTTTAGTAGATTCATTTGATCGACGGCTTCATATTATCATGTTCGTTGAGGAGTATCTGCATATAAACAAATTCATTGCTTTCTGAACGATCAGATGCATCATTACCTTTTCCTTCTGGTCAGAGCATCCGACTCGAATGCAAGATGTCGTGGGTTTGAACCCCAGCCGAGTCATACCAGGGACTTCAAAAAATGGTACTTGCAGCTTCCTCGTTTGGCACTCAGTTTCTGAGATTTCTGCAAGCAATATCGTTTCGAAAACAAAAGACGTCCCTGTTGTTTTAGAGAATAAGAGATCATAACAAATATGTATTTAAACTGAGGGACTGTAACGGCTCCGATGACCTAGTGGTTAGAGCGTCCGCCTCAGATGCGGGTGGTCGTGGGTTCGATCCCAGGCTGAGTAATACCAAAGACTTACAAAAATGGTACTGACAGCTGCCTCGCTTGGCGCTCAGTTTTAAGAGGTCTGTGTTAGGACTGGTCGGCCTGGTGTCAGGATAATGTGACCTGGTCATGCTACATGTCTGCGTCATGATGCCCCAGTGCTAGACATCTGCGATATGACTGAAAAATTGTTAAAACTACGTTTAAAAATCAAAATCAAAATCACACACATACAGACACATTCAGACACACACACACGCACACACACACACACTGAGGGATGGAAGTGCTGAATTCCGGATGATGGAATACATTTAAGAATATTTTAGGTGATGGAGATGTACAAAAATGAAGGATATATTTATAATTAACTTCGCAGATTTAGACTTGAAGTCAATCGAAACCCATAATTGGATCTGCAATTTTAAATTAGACTTCATGACTTGAATCGTTGGACAACAGTGTCCAAGGAGAGCAGTTTGCGCCAAGTATCTATGCACCCATGACCTTTTCGCGCCTTCACAGTTGCCACATAAGTCAAAGACAATTTAGAAATGGAGTTTGCTAAATACTTTCGAATGGATTTTAGAAAGTTCATTTGCGATGAAGGATCGGTCTTTGATATACTTTAAAAACATGCTTTGTATCAAGAGATTTGCAGGCCATTGAAGTTGTTTCTATAGCTTCAGATTATTAGTACGGAAGTTGTTGGTGCGCATTGTTATTGTATGATAAGTAACTGCACATCCGACCATGGAAACACCACCGTAAGATAAACATCCTACTAGGGAAAGACCAATATAATTGTGCTGTGTGTGATGCATATTTTTAACGTAAACGTAGCTTAAAAAAATGTCATTCATCTCTCTACGATGTGTGCAGTATGGCAGTTTATAGTGATGTCTAACACCGGGACATCATGCCGCAAACTTGTACTGTCATATCCCACCCAGTCACGTTGTCCTGAAACAGGCCGATCAGTCCAAGCACTAGCACTATCTAAGGGATAATATTCTGAGGACATCGAATTCCCATTTAGATATAATCCAACAAATTTGTTAATACATACATACATACATACATACATACATACATACATACATACATACATACATACATACATACATACATACATACATACATACATTCATGCATGCATGCATGCATGCATGCATGCATACATACATACATACATACATACATACATACATACATACATACATACATACATACATACATACATACATACATACATATATACTGTTACGACCCTGTAATTAAATTACATATGTCTTATGACTGGCGCCGAGTGGTCTAAAGCTCTTTCCGTTACGGATCACTGCCATCTCACCTCTGTCTGCGTGGGTTCGAGTCTAAGATTCGGCGAATGTGGATATGTGAGAAAGCTTGCCAGTAGTTTCTCGTGGGTCGGTTGTTCATTCCGCGGATTTCCTCCACCATTAATTTTGGCCGCCATGTATATCGTGTGCTGAAAAATGATGTTAAGCCCCAAAACAGCAACAACATAAGTCTTAAAATTTGAATTTTTTGTTTCATTTTTTTTTTCATTTTATATAATTCAATATAGTTATCATTATGACGATGATTATGTTCGCAAGGTCTGATGTATTTTTAGAAACGTCGTGTTTATTTAATACTCGTGTAAGCACGATTTTTGCATAACGGTTTTATCATATTAAGTAAATAGTCAGAAATAACTATGTAAGTGACTTAGTGTAACCATGGTCATTACTAATAATAGTTGTTGACATTCTATACTGCAATGTGGCTAGATTTCGAAATCTTGATGATTTCTCCAAGCGTGGGCATGGGGTGACGTATTAATTTGCTTTAAATACTCCTGTACCTGCGAAATAGTCATAGTCGAGAGTCATATTTTAACATCGTAGAGAGTCACATCATAACATCTAATAGAGTTTATGATACCTTAAGAAGGTATTCCTGTGCTGGAAAGAGTTGTATAAAGAAAAACGTGTGTTTTGTTGTTGATGATAGCTGTACGTTTACCTTTTAAAGAATAATTATTTTCCCTGGAGAACTAAACAACTGGCTTTTGGACAAAGACATTTGCTGAAATTATTTTTATATTAGAAAAGGACAATACAAATTGTGATTCACATAGTAAATTTTGGACATTTGTGTTAACCTTCGTCTGACGTCATTATCTGCCATCTTGGAAAGGAAATGAGGTTCAGACTACGTTAATTTATAACTATTTATTCACAGGACGTGTGTGCTTTTCATAATTTTAGGACAAATGTTTGGCTCTTTATCGTAAATCGTAAGTATTGTTTCATATTTTTTAACTTTTTCAGTGTCTTCTAAGGAAAAAAAAAATGTTTTTGTTAAAATTTACAAAGCTTGTTGTCTTCGCTCTTTTCTTTATGCTACATTTAACGATCCCATACATACATACATACATACATACATACATACATACATACATACATACATACATACATACATACATACATACATACATACATACATACATACATACATACATACATACATACATACATACATACATACATACACACACTCACACACACACACATACATACATACATACATACATACATACATACATACATACATACATACATACATACATACATACATACATACATACATACATACATACATACATACATACATACATGCATGCATTTGATAAGCGTTGGGCTACTTAAATGTCGAAAGGCTATGGCACGGACCTGGACCTGAGGAACACCAAGGCATTTTCTACAGTAGTAAAGAAAGTCACATAAACAAGCTAATTTGTTCAAGCAATCAGCCTCTTGGTCAAGAAGACGCTTCGATATGCGTCGCAGTCAAGAAGACCACCTCGATATCGAAGTGTTTGAAGACAGCAGCATCTCAGTCAAAAATATTAATTGAAAAGGTCAAAGTGATTCAAGAAAACATCAAGAAGACAGAATCAATAAGCCGAAGTGTTTGAGAAAGACAGTTTCTATGTCAAGAATAACACCTCAATAGTCATGTGTCTGAGAAAAATCAGCCTCGCAGTCAAGAAGACCACCTTAATAGGCCGAAATGTTGGATGAAATCAGTCTCTCAGCTAAGAGCACTTCCATAGCCAAAATGTCTGCAGAAATCAGCATCTCAGCCAAGAAGACCACCTCAATAGGCCGAACTATTTTGGGAAAACGGTGTCTCTGCTCCCGTGCCTAGTGGTTAGAGTGTCCACCTCCTATGCGGGTGGTAGTGGGTTTAACTCTTTCCGAGTCATGCCAAAAATTTATTTTAAAAAATGGTACTAACAGCTGCTTCGCTATGCGCTCAGAATAAGAGGTTAGTGTTAGGACATGTCGGCCTGGTGGCAGTATATTATGACTAGGGGGGACATGATTCTGCATGTCTGCGGTATGATGCCACAGTGTTAAGCATCACTATAAACTACCACACTGCAGACATCGAAGCGATATAACGAAAAATATTTAAAGCTACGTTACAAATTCAAATCACCAACACGCACACACACACAGCTATGAACACCTTAAATAAATATTTGCTTTTTAAGTGTAATTTGTGAAACGCTTTCATTTTAAAATTTAGGACAACATATTATCACTGATATGGCGTCGTCCGTCGCGAAATAAGCTTTCACCCACAATTTCACCATCAGTTATTTCTGGACAAATCTATGACAATTACACTATATCATATATTAGTATTGTGTTAACTACTTTGGTTCTGAGTGGCATATGTCTTTAAAAACGTGGACGAATTGTTTCAATTGGATGAGATAAAATGTTACCTCAGAAGGGCACCATATGTTCGGAGTGCCAGAAATGTGGCTTATTGAAATTATATTTTGTGGGATATATAACTTAGCTCGTAAAATTTTGTATAGTTAAATCTGAGTGAAGAACGTGGTCTGACATAGCTATATCCCGCATTTAATTACTCGACTCTGAAAAATGTTGCCAACATTACAACTATAGAACTAAAACGATGGTTCTGCCTATATTTTCTCAGCAATTTATTTTGTCAGTTGAGCGAAACGTAACATTAAGAGCCTATAAAGAATGGCATAAATTTCCACCAGCAGGAACACTGCAACTACTCATTCTGTAATTTTTCGGCTGACTGACAAGAAGTCCAAAATATCTATTTAAGAAGCACAGCAGCAAGTAAATTCTTATCACTGCCTTTTCCTGTCTCCTAGATTCATTAACAAAAGCAATAGCCCAGGGAGATTCGAAACCTAAACATGTAGGAATGTGACAGCGCAACGCTTCAGAACATTTTACGATCACAGATGGACAACGGAAATGTTTGTATTCTTTGATTTTCCTGTATTATTTGCTACGAAAACCATTTGTATATGCATTAAGATTGATCAGAGAATGAAATGCTTTATTCCTTGATGCTTAACAATGTCATGAATGAATAAATGAATTTATATTTGTTGATTTAACAAACTTGTTTTAGAGTTGGATAATTCTTTATAGGTTTCAATTTGTCTACATTGAAAGAAAATGGTAGCTGTCTCAGTTGTCTTTAATTAATTTAATTCTAACTACTGATCGATACGGGAGGATTCATGTATCCTTTCAATGCAATAATATACACCCGATTATATTACTGTACACTAAAATAATACTCTGATGATGTATATCATGTACACTGAACTCCATACTGTATTATTGTATACTGTAGTACTGATCTATTAGTGTCAATCATGTACACTGTACTCCATACTGTATTATTGTATACTGTAGTACTTATCTAATAGTGTCAATCATGTACACTGTACTCCATACTGTATTATTGTATACTGTAGTACTGATCTAATAGTGTCAATCATGTACACTGAACTCCATACTGTATTATTGTATACTGTAGTACTGATCTAATAGTGTCAATCATGTACACTGAACTCCATACTGTATTATTGTATACTGTAGTACTGATCTAATAGTGTCAATCATGTACACTGAACTCCATACTGTATTATTATATACTGTAGTA